GCTCCGATGCTGCTCCTATTGCCCACTGAGGCATTTAAATGCTTTCTTCCATTAATTTGGGGTGCTTTTTCTTGTTCTGGAGCACAGCAGGTGAGAGGACGAGAGCAGCAGACAAATACTAGACTTGGAACAACATCTAAATGGTTTTGGTTCACCTTAAGAAGGAAAAAAAAAAGGAAGGGAAGATGAATTCTCATCTTGGATCACTGAGAAATAAACAGGAAATAAACAGCAGGAAATAAACATTACGTCTTCCTACATCCTTTTTTGGGATTCCAGGTCTTTGTTTGTTGGTTTGTTTGTTTGTGAGGTTCTGTTGTTATTGTTGTTTTGTGGGGGCTGTTTTAGGCAACATAATTATTTTCCTTTTGGATCTTACTCAATTTTCATCTGATTTAATGCCAAGGATAGCAGGGATCCAGAGGTCAAGTCCAAATGTTCCCATGCAGCAGCATGGTGCATGTCTTCTTGGCAATTCTCCATGCATTTCTTTGGAAAATCTGCTCTTGGGATCCCAGTCTGTTGGAAAATAAAATGTTGCTTAATAGATAGTACATAAATACAATCCTTGGCCACACCAATAAATGACCAAAAAGCTGAAAAGATATTCCTGGCTTTTGTAGACTTTAAAAGTGAGGTTTAAACTGAGCTCATCCCTCCCCACAGACATCTACAGGAGGAACCCTCACCAGCTGATTGCAGGGGGTTGGATTTGCAGCTCTTCAGAACAAGTTGCAGAAGTACAACTTTTATAGCAGTCTTACTTAAACACCTGCAGTTTACACTGAATACCATAAAAGACTGATTTTCAGCCAAGAGTTATCACACAGTTTTTTAATTCATCAAAGGTATATACATTCATCACAGGTATATTGCAAATATTACTGTGAAAGAGAAGGGGGATCTGGTCTCTCTGCAGACCACTGTTTCTCTCCAAAAGGTGTGATTTTGAGCCAGCCCAAAAAAAAATGGAAGGTATTTAAATGAGAAATTCAGACAAAAAATCTTCACAATGCATAAGGAGGTTTTTATCTATTTAAAATATTAGATTTTTCCCCCCTTTTAATTGAAAGTTGGGGATTTTGACATCACCAACTCTTTTACCTTGAGTTTTTTCATGTCATCAGTGGTATGTTTTGACTAGTATGAAATTTTGTTAATAGGACTATTTTTCCTTAGGCATGAGCTCAGATGTTTTTCAGAATCTTACCAGAATATCTGTTTGGGAACAAATTTGGACATAAGCTTTGAATGGTGATAGTGTGACGTGTGCAGGTGCAACTATTTTGGTATGTTCTTTGTGCTGGGTGCTCTTGAAATTAGTATTTCAATACATAAGCTATGAAGTAAGGGGGGGAAAATGAGTCAGTAGAATTATGAATAAACATAATTTATCTTTATTTATCTTATGAATGTTAATTATGGCATTTTATATAATACCTTTTCTATATTCATCTGTGTTGTTGCTCTGTTAGGAAGATGAAGAATTCACTTGCATGTGTGCGTTGTTTGGCAGTGATATTTTCTAAATACAGAGTTTGGCGTCAGTGAGAAGTGTCTGCTTTCCCAAGACTTTGACCCACCCAGCTTTTCACCCCTGTTTTGGGTGACTTTGCAGGTGTTAAACAGGATGGCGCTGAGGCAGGAGGGTCTGACTACCAAAGATATCACTCTCAGAGCTGTTTTAGTTACACTTCATCATCATAAGCATATGGTTTCACTTCCAAGTGTTTAACATTTCCATTTCCTCAGGAAATCATTCCTTCTCTTTTTTAAACTTTTGAAACTGGATGGATATTTTTACTGGCAGGCGGAGCGAGAGCGACACAAGGCTCAGCCCCAGCCCAGGAGAGCCCTTGGCTGCGGTGCCCGCCCGCCTCCCCATCCCTTCCCTCCCGCAGCAGGTCCTGAGCAGCTCGGGGTGCTCCAGCACCCTTTTAAAACACTTCTTGCCATAATAAAACCATCCACCCCTTTTTCAGCTTTAGCTGTTTTTAGTTTTTTAGTGTTTTTCTTTCTTAGTCTGCTCTGGGCCCATGCATCCCAAGAATTAGTTGAGTGCAGATTCCTTTAGCTGACTTAGTGAGGCCAACAGCAAGATCAGGGCCTAAGAAAATAGTTTGTGTCACCTATGAGGAATGAGAACATTTTCATCGGGTATTTACTGTCTATGTTGGTATATCCAGCAGTTAAATGAGCATGACAGAGGAGTGGATGGCTCCAGGGAACTGCTCTGGGTGTTGTGTTTTCTGAGATTATTTTTGGCATTTCCTTTTTCCTCGTTACGAGTGGGTCACCCTTCTCACGTGTTGGCCAAGTTCTGTAGAGCAGGAGGAAATCCATGCTCATGTCTTCTTTATGCTGTGTTTATGTCACAGTGCTCAGCTGAGTGTTTTCTTTCCCTGCTGTGCCATGAAGTACACTTATGGATGTGCAATTTGCACACAAATTTAGCTGGTCTTACCGGCCCTTTTGGTATCTGTTACATTGGGTGTCACCGTGTCATAACAACATTGATAAACTTACTGCATTTTTAATAACAAACATTATTACTGTCCATCAAATGATGTTCTACAAGAGAAAATATGGGGCAAACCAGCTGATTATTGTGTTTGTTCCTTTCTGGTTTACTCTGTTATGAATCCAGACAGTCTCATTCTTGGAAATGGCATGGGGAAATTTGCTGTGGGTCTGGGCTTCCGGAGGATTGAGTTCTGCCACCAGGCAGGCCGTGTGCTACTGGTATTCAGGGTGCGTTTTATTCATTCCCTCACAAGAGTCAGTTAGTCAAGCTAGCAGAAAACAGCATCAGGCAGATGTAGTTAAACATTCACACCTCCCAGGAGAGCTCACCTGAGCCTCTGGCTTCGTGCTGGCCTCTGGGATGTTGTGAGTATCTGTTTTGATCCTCTCTCCTGACTCCTTCACTTCCCTTAGTGCTGTAGGTGTCTGCACATCCCTTCAGCAGTTACTCACTAAAAACACCACTTGGTCAAGCAGCACAAGCTGGTACCACCCACAAGGACACCCAAAGGCTGCTCCTGTCCCAGAGATCCCACTGGTTTTCCCACCACTCATAACAGTGCCATGATGTTCCATGCTGAAGGCTCCAGCTCAGGCAAACAAACCAGTGCCAGGGGGTGGCTGCTGATAATTAGATTGACTGGAGGTCAGGCTTGGATTTACACAGCGATTTTGATCCAGTTTCACTTGCAAGAGAGCATCAAAACATTGCAGTCTTCTCGATAGATTGAGTGATATCCTGATCCAAAATGGAATGGCAATGCCATCAAAAAAAAGCCCATCTGCTTCAGAAGACCAGACCAGGGCAGGACCACACTGAATTAAAAGCATTTTAATGCATAAAATTTCAGCTATCCCCAACCCATGCCTCCAGTGACCACCCTGGAAGTGCCTCAGGAATCAGTTCCTGAAGTACAGCCAGGTGCAGCACTGGGCACTGTCCCTCCTTCCTCTTACAAGAGGCAGCCTTGGCTGCTCCTGCCCGCTGTCACCCAGCTACAGGACAGTAGTCCAACACCTCATACAGCATTTCTGTTCAGAACAAATGTACCCAGAGGGTGCTGAGGCCCTGGAATTGGTTGCCCAGAGAAGCTGTGGATGCCTCCAAGGCAGGATGGATTAGGATTGGAGCAACCTGGGATAGTGGTAGGTGTCTCTGCCCATGGCAGGGGATATGTAATTAGGTGATCCTTAGGATCCCTTCCAACCCAAACCATTCCATGATCATCTGACGATTCTGTGAAACCCTGGTTTTGCAGAACATGGTCCCCAGGACACAAGCTGAGATGAGCAGGGCCTTCAGCTGGGTGCCTCAGTGGCAAAGGGGATCTCCATCACAGACATGCCTGCATCCATGGAGTGGGAGGAGCTGCAGGACGTGGGGGGCCAAAGCAGAGGGGGAATCAAAGACATTGCAGGAGTAACTGCAGGCCCAAGAGAGAAGTAACCGAGGCACTGACAACTTGTGTGGGTTTCGTATGTCTGTTTGCAGTGCTGTGTTATGTGTTTAGAAGCTGGTTGTTTCCATAATAACAGCAAGTGCCATATGGCAGCGAGGAGGGTGGTGAGAAGAATGCCTAAGGAAACACAGTATGTTGTTTGACATGTGTGTACTTGTAGAGGAATAACGTGTCTCAAGCAAGTATTGCTGCTCCAAGCAGGCTGAGGGATTTGCTGCTCTCACCAGAAAAATATCCAAAGCCCTTGGCATTTGTGCTGGTGCCATGCCAGTTAATGATGCCTGCCCTTCATCTGTATTCTCCTGCTGATAGTCCTTGTGATGGGCAAAGGACCTTTTGCTTCACTGTGAGTGATGGTTGTGGATGCACCAGCACAGGGAAATGGCATTTAAACATGGCTTCTAAGGGGAAATACAGTTTTGTAAGGAGTGCTGTGTGAAACTGAAATGAGCCAGATGCCATATGCTCTATCCATTCCTTAATGCTCAGCAATTAAATAGCAGAATTTTTGAAACCTTTGAAAAATGCATAGTTTACTATAATTGTTTAATAGAAGGTAGGCTAAGCATTTCCAGAGATACGGGGCACTTTAGTGCGTATCTAGGAAGCATCCAGGAAGGACTCCACAAATTCCAGCTTTTTCCACCCTTTAATGTATGACTCATATTTCAAAGACTTGTAATTTGCTCCCCACATTCCCACCAATACCACCAGTCTGAGCTTTGCATACATTTCCACCACAGAAAAATATGAAATTATTTTTCATAATAGGTGAATGGCTTATGCTTGACCTTTACCAACATCAACCCTATAAAATCCAGCCTCTCTTAATTGAGACTTAAAGCCATTAATTATATTTGTATTTGGATACCGGAAACGTGGTGGCAGGGAGAAGGAGGTTGTTTAGGTTCGGGGTTGTAGTTCTGCACTCACTTGCGATGCTTTAACTCATGAGCAACCTGAAAGGCAGAGCTCTTCTCATTTTCATGCTTCTGTTCTTCTCTTTATTGCCTCTAGAGAGAGATTATTGCAGCATATGTGAAAAGCAGCCCATCGGAAGGCTTCTCTTTCGGCAGTTCTGTGAAACTCAGCCCGAGCTCGAGTGCTGCATTAGGTTCCTTGACTCGGTGGTAAGTCAATTCTTGTGGTATTTTGGGGTGCTTTGCAATGTTTCCCTGACAGAGGAGACTCCTGTGACCCCAGGAAATTGCTGTTTTGTGGGATTTTGTGTCTGAAGTGTGTCTGAAGTGGACAGGGGCTGGTGCCAGCCTTGGGGGACATGAGCCACCAGAGGAGGGTAAGGACAGTCGCCCCCAGAGTGCTGCTGTGTGATCCCTTCATGTCAACACCTGAGCAGATGGGGTGCTCTGGGTAATGTCTGCTGATGGGGGTGAAGCCTGCAGTGCTGGGAGGCACTGGGAGGAGAGAGAAGTTGAGAATGGACTGACAAGAGAGGATGGGCAGTCTAATAATCCTAATGTCTTTTACCAAGCCTTTTCATCCATAGAGTTCAGGGTGATTTACAAAGGACATCCTGATAATCAGCCTGTTTTTTCAAATAGGAGAACAGAGGTACAAGGTACAAGAATAACATGATTGAGGTCACTGAGACACAAATCTGCTCCATTTTCCACCCCAGTGAACCATCAGTTAACCCAGCCACTGAGCATCCCCCCAAGCCCTGGGGGACCTGACGCTCTTTCCCAGTCTGGCATCACTTGGCCATGTGTCCTGCCAGCTGCTCACAGTGAAAAAGTCTCTCAGTGACTTCTTTTGCTGGGAATCTGTGGAAGGGGAGGGTGTTGATCAGCCAAAAGGTGAAATGGTACCAAAGAGAAAGATGTGAACTTGTCAATTGTGAGTGCCCACAAGGTCTCGCTCCCTGGCTAACACTTGCAGCCAGAAGCAAAACAATTCATACCAACAGGAATAAAATTGTTTTGTTTGCACCATGGTGAGGCTACTCTGAAGTATAGGGAAATGTGAGGATTACACTGAAGCTGTGAAAGTAACAGTCTGGAGAGGACATGTATCTTAAGGTTGCAGTAACAACAGCAAATCTACAGCATCACAAAAAGTGTTGGATAAAGTCATATCTGTATCCATTTTTAGCTGGTCATGACTTCCACCTGTTATTCCTAGCACTGCTTGGGATTTTCTGTGGTCAAAGGTGTAGCCATCATGGTGCATGAGACATCTGACAAGCACTCTGTGCAGCTGTGCTCGAGGCCAGCAGGCAGCAGGACATTTGGGTACCCTGGATGTGTTTTGCCAGCATTGTCCAGTGAGGTGTCTGCCCCTGATGAAACCCCACACACCCGTCTGGGAGGGAGGCACCCCTGCAGAAATGCCACTCAGGGCATGCCACTGACAGCAGGAACAACATCTGGGCACGGGGAAACATCTGTCCCCCCCAGGGCACCGTGTGACAGCCCTGCTGCAGCGCTGCCCAGCCTGCCCCCGGCTCTGGGAATTGAGGGCACTGTGTCATTTCATCCTCCCAAGCCCTGTGCAGCCGTGACAGGCACTGAGGCTCCGTGTCCTCCCCTCAGCCCTGCAGCACACACCACACTGCTCCTGCAAAAGCTCGTGGTGGCACTGGCTTTGTTTTAAAGCTCTGTCTCTGAGCAATCCCGAAGGGATGTTCCCAAATCCTTTTGCAAAGGTGTGCTTTGCACCCACCCCAAGCTGCTTTTGCAGACTGGAGCTGCCCTGTGGACCCTGACTGGGCCAGTGCTCTGTTCCCAGTCAGGCTCAGACTGGCACTATGAGGATTTGATAGCAAAATGCCTGTCTGGGTGGAGGTCTGAATCCTTATTTTTCTCCTTTTTAACACTAACTAGCAGTCTCCTTTGTTTATTGATTTCAAATTCTGCGTAAGCTTGCTCCCAGCCCATGAAAATCCCTGTATTAGGCAATATTAAGGTCAAGCAACAGAGTCCTTTGCCATTAAATTGGATGATTGCTACTGAAATTTGCCCAGCGGGGTCACACTGTGTTTAGTGAGTAGTGGGATTCAAGCCAAGCCCTATGTTAGGCTAAAGAAAAGCCCTATAATGCAACCAGGAGTCTGACTTTACATCCCTAATCTGAGACCACCAAGAATCTGAAACCTTTTCAAGACCACCTGCTGTAAGAAGCAGGAAAAGCCAGGAGTTTTCATTTTCTTTTGTCTTGGATATTTTTCTAACACTAAATGCAAAAATTAGCTTTTGTGTAATGTTAAATAAAGGGAAAAGATAAAAGGGGATAGTACTTAACTGTTCATGAGGGGCTCACTGAGCTTTTTGCACATTGAAAGGGAGGACCACCTCTCTTTTTCAGAGCCCATCTAAGTGACTTTACCTGGTGACACAGTAAGTCCCTGGCAGAAGCCAGTACTTGATGCCTCCCAATATTTTATAATTTTTCAACTCATGCACTCAACTGTCTGCAAGGAAAGAAGTGTCTGGGGCTTCTGGGAGAAACCAGAAGCTGAGTCAGACATTCAAAAACCTACCAACATCCTTATGAGAGACTAAGCTCTCTCTCACACCTTTGCTTCCAAAGGCTGGTAGAATCATCCAGACCTTGCAGACCAGAATATGTAAAGACACAAAAAAAAAAATCCTCTCTTGACTGGACATTTCTGTCAGCTGTTATGTGAAATATCTAATATCTGATGTAGTCTCCTGCAAATGTAATTATGGCAGCATTTGGGGATTTTTGTCTGTTAAACAGTTGTTAAGCTGCTTTCTGAAGGAAAAGGATTTGTATCACAAAATTCTGCATGCATGTAGGTGTGTAGCTGTCAGTTCCCTCTGAAACCTCTGCATACCTTGGCCAATTTCAACCAGTAATTGAGATGAAAGTGCTCAGAGGCATAAAGTCTCTACGTGTTTTCTGAGAGCAGTGTTTGGGTAATTAGTCACAGTGGATTGTAGCCCAGACTAACACGAGATGTGGTTTGTGAGCAGTAGCCCCAGCATTAGGTGGTAACAGTGAGAAGAACAAAGAGATGCAGAGCTCTGCAGCACAGCCCTGGTGGAGCTGTGGGTGTTTGGTTCCCACTGCTGCTGTGGGAACAGTGAGTGCCTGTCAGTGTCTGTCTGTCTGTCTGTCTGGGAAATGGAGCAACAGCAGCCCCTTCTCCCAGCTGGCACGAAGGGCTGCAAGGACAGACAGCCATCTCTTATTGCAGATATTGTGCAAACAAGCCCATGGCAGAGGGCCTGAGATAAAACATCCACCGCGAGCCCACGTGGCTCTGAAGGCATCGCGTGCTTATCTGGGTGCATGGAACCACAGAGACCTGCCCTGAATGGCTCACCAAACCCTGAGCTAGCCATTCAGATGCTGCAACTGTGTGAACATAAACTATTAGCATTAGATGGAGATGGTTTATGATTAAATTGGCCCCTCTAGAAGCCCTTGCCCAAGGAATCACGCACAGCCCCGAAGCATGCTTTGCTCTGCTTACAAATGTTTTAGCAACGTGGTTCAACTTTGGAGCTGTTGAAAGAGAGCAATTAAAATAAAGTGTGGGGGGAAATGTTTCCTGTGCTAAAAGGCAGATCAGTGAGCAGGCAAGGCACTAGCAAGATGTGTTTCCTTCTCCACAGCCAGTGCCTCCAGCACAAGAAGGTGGCAGTTCAGTTCAGCAGGGACCTCTTGCTCCTGTCCCCTCCTCATCAGCACATTCCCAGGCTGCCAGCTCCTGACATTTCCTTCTCCTCTCTTAGGATTTTTATGTGTCACTAAAGTGAAGGCTTTAGCTCCTGGATTCCCTTTCCTGCTTCATCTACTCACATTCATAATGATTTTTTTCCAAGGGAGGGCTTTTAACAATTTAATGTGGACTAGATTTAGGTTGACTGGAGGAGAATGGGGACAATTTTGGTCATTATTTTTTCTCTAATGTGAACAAGGTTACTTTTTTTGCACTGAAGCCACACAAAAATACATCCTCTGGAGGAAAATAGCCCTGCTGCCTCTCCAGGTTGTTTTTGCTTGTGCTATCTGGGCTCAAGGAGCAGGGTGAGAGGCACAACCTCCTCAGGTGGACTTTTCAGCTGAATGCTTCACTAGACATTGCACTTATCTGGGATGAAAGGATGAGTGAGCATCCATTTAATGCCATTTGTAAAAACCCTGTCTTGCTGTTAGGGAGATTTCGTTTGGTTAAGTCCCTTTTGTGGTATATAAACCATCTGTGTATGTGTGTCTTAAAGCTGTTCAAGGCTTTTCCCATCAGAAATGCCAGTTTGTTGGTATCAACAAACTCATTAACTCAAAACTGTGTTTTCAAACCGTTGAAAGGGCTCTTTTTGCCCTGCCTTTAAATATGAAAAATATGGTTTCAAGTTCACTTTTCATTTAGAAATGTGAGTTATTATAAATCCCAGCTGTTTGGGGTTTGCCTTCCAATTTTCAGTCACAGATTTTAAATCTCCAGTGGAGGCAAGAGCTAGGACAGGCAATGAGGACAGAGCAATGACAGGGCAGAGCCTGGAGTCTGAGAAAAGGACTAAGCAGGGAGATATTCTCAGATGACAGAGGAGGGAGCTGAGAAAGTAGAGGTGAAAAATTGTCACTGAAATGTCAGTAATCTCTGGCAGAAGCTCAAAAGGTGATTCCACTGTTCCTGATTTTCACCAAGAAGCCAGAACTACTCTGGTGGGAGTGTCTGTTCCCATCTCCATCTCTTGGGTACAAGGGGTGATGATTCCCTTGGCCATGCCTTGCTACCACAGGCCCTGCTGTGGGAGAGCAGTCTCCCAGACCTGCAGAGAGATCTCTTGGGATATGTTTTTCCATTTTCACATATTTTTAGCCATGCAGTTTCAGGAGCTCAAATAATATTAAGGTGAAAATCAATTACTACATAAATTGATGTGTCAGAATCAGTGTGAGCCCCTGTGGGGTCCCTGTGTCATTGCCCTAGTAGCTCTCCATCCATCACAGGCAGCCTCCAGCCTTGAAACCTGAGCTGTTCTTGAGCCCCTGGCCCCATCCCACAGCCAGTCACAGGCTAGATGTTGCTCCCTTTCCCAGCTGAAGAGCATTTTTCCATCTGATCTCTCTCAGCCCGTCCTGAGGGCAGCTCCTCCAAAGGGAAGGCACTTTGCACTCCCATTCCTCCATCCAGCCAGGGCTGCTTCTATTAAAGAAGGAGCCACCAGTGTAATTACAGCTCCAAATCAGCAGCCAGAAGAAAAGTTAGCAGCAGACAGTGGCCAGCCCACATCCTCTCGCCATTTGGGCTGAAGGATCTGTGCCTGCCCACAGAAAGAGCCTTCCCTGCAGCTTGTCCCATGGAATCAGGGTGATCATAAATCCTCCCCTCATTTATGGGCTGTGAATAGGGCCCTGTCTGACCTAACTAGGGCATGGAGAAGCTATTAGACTTCAGAGCAGGAGCCTTGAAACACATGCCTGGATTCATCAAAGGAATAATGGAAAATATTTTTTTCCACGCGGATTTTAAGTAATGATGTAATTTCTAGCAATCAGGGATTTGCAAAGTGTAGCCATGCTTTTGAGTATTGGGAAAGAAGGGGAGGTATCTTGTGATTCAAGCACAAGACCAGGATTGAGGACCTTGGTGGCTTCCCAGGCAGGTGGCAGAGAGAACATGGGGACATCCCTGTAGTAACAGGTGATGGCTGAAAATGTACCAGGGTCTGTTGCTGAATAGCTCAGAAATGGCACTGAAGGAAGAAATAATAATGAACTTAGGAACAAAATGGAACAGGCTTCTAGTGCAGACCTACAGTGAAATTAACTCTGTGCACAGTTGGAGCTTATGGTTCCTTCTCACATCCTCACTTGTCTGTCACTTCCCACCTTTGCCACCACCGTGTCACATTTCCTGGGAATGTCAAATGCAAGTATAATTCAACTTTCCTTTTATTCTTTGCTATCTACCTTGAGGCAGAACGAGATACTCTGTGTATGTATAGGTGTGCATTTAGCTCTGCAGACGTTGGATCCCATCAGGAATCACATTTCAAGACATCCAGTTCTTGCTGAGTTTCTGTCTTCTGGTCTTTCCTGATTTGTTTCCTGTTGTACAGTTCAGATGGGATGTAACTGTTACAGCTTATATGTGGCCAAAGGGACATCCAATTTTTCGACAGCTCCCTGGTACACTTCAAATGGGAGATTATGACTTATAATCAGGTTTTATTTGCTAGGGAGACAATATACTATCAGAGTTGGAAAGCAAATGAAGGAGAGAGAAATCATGGAGAAAAATGTTGCTAAGATGCTCTAAGCATTTCAGAGTTCTGTACTTTAAGAGCTGAAATGACCCATACTCAGATACCATCTAAAAGCATAGAAAATTAGATAAAAGATTTTTTTAAACCATTGTATTAAGTTTTATGAGAACATAATCAGTTTAATCCCCAAAACTGTCACTCAAAAAGTACTGTACTGGTTGATTTCAGTTTTTGGTTGTTTTTTCATCATTTTTATTTGTGGCCATAATCATTTCCCAGACCAAATCAGATCATAATTCCAGATTGTTCAATCAACCTGCTATGCCTGTGTGTAAATATTCAGCTCCAGACTTGAGCTGCAATAGCTAAATGAGCACTGGCCAGATAGAAGGGGAATAGCATTATTACTACATTGTGGTTTCCATGTCATTCCTAGGTTTGCTTAGCTGGGGTATCCATTACAGCCAGCCTGCAGATTTATTGCATCCAGCCCAGAGCAGTACATACATCTTCCAGTGGGCAATAGTTCTGAAATTTGTTCTTCCAAGTGTTTGCCAGTTCAGTCTGATTTACCTTATTTTTTTTTTTTTTTTTGAGCTTCCTCCTCATTTATCATTGCAGACAGCTTGTATTGGACCAGGTTATTTAATTGGTTTGGCAGGATTTTCTGGGATCCTTTTTTTAATACAGTCATGAAAGCTGTTAGGCTGCCGTCTTCTTTTTTTATTTTTTTTTTTTTATACTTCTGGAAAATATTTTGATCCGAAGGCTAAAGCTTCATATTCCAGGCAGTGCCAAGCAGGAATGTCTCTAAGAACTTCTAACAACCTCATTTAGCCACTGGGGTCCCCTGCAGCATGTGTTTCCTTCGAATGCCTGCCACGGATGTGGAACTTTAGCTGAAGTGATTAATATCTTCATGGCACACATGTAGTGCTTCCTTTGTTTCTAATGTAAACAAAGCTCATCAAAAGTCACTAATGTGTCATACCTAGAGCAGCCAGAATTTTGAAATGTAGGTAGACTTTGTGTGTGAGGATGGGGTTCTCTCTTTTTTAATGCAGTAGGGAAGCCAAAGAGAATTTTGCTTATGGTGTATGTTCCTCTAAATGATCTCTCTTGTTTCCCCGTGGTCCTAAGAAATCAGCCTTCTGAAGGGGCTGAGCCAAGGATCACTAACAGTGATGTCCCTCTGCTTTGCACAGCTATTGTTAGACCAAGGTCAAGGCATAAATACATAGAAAAGACACATTAAACTAAATTACAATATACTGAAGAATATATATATATATTCACCAGGCACTTGAAATACAACTGTGGCAAGGGTAAATAAACATTCACTTTCTCTACTCAGAGAAATAATTTTACCTCCTGTGTCCACTGTCATTTTGAGCAAAACCAAATGAAGTTGATGTCTCTTGTCACTGAATGCTTTCTGAAAGCCAGCTTTGCAAGGTTATAAAATAGAAATTAATTAAATTGTATTGGTGGTAATTAAGAGACAAAGCCCCAGAAGATGCACCACTAGGGTCTGGTCAAAATATAGTGGAAGGTTTTTAATAAGATTGTGTGTACAGGTTTCAGTTCCACCTGAAAATGATATTTGTCCTTCAGATTTTTCATACAGAGTGTTCTGTTAAGGCCACATCCAAAATGAAGTTATAATGGTGAAATATGAGTGCAAATATTGACTTTTATTTTTTATATGTCTGTTCCAGGCAGAATATGAAATTGCTCCAGATGAAAAGCTGGGAGAGAAAGGAAAGGAAATCATGATGAAATACCTCACCCCAGAGGTAAGGGGCAGCCAAAGTGGCATTACTGAAGGAATGCTGCAAGGCACACCTTTACTAAACAAGGTTGTTACAGGCTCTGTAAGCCAGACTCCTAAAATTTATGGTGGCAATCTCCAGTGAATAAACCTGCAAGTCTTATACAAACAGTCAGAGAGAAAAAAAAATCATAATGCAACCCAGAAATTGACTTCTAAGGATGAACTTGACTTACCAGGGGCTTAATTCATCCATGGATGAGCAAAGGGCTTCTCTGGTCTCTTCTCAGTGTACAAAGCTCTGCATTGGGGGTGTAATACAAGAGACCTCAGCTGTTACTAACAGATGCCCCAATTATTTCCTATCCAGCTCAGAAGTGGTGGTGACATTTCATACTCTGTTGTGTAGAAAGCACAGGCAAAAATGGTCTTTCCTTACAGACACTGTATTTTGGTACAGAAATTCCCACTCTTCCCCCAGCACCATTTTCCCCAGGGTGGGCAGGGACACTCAGGACTGGCAGGGGACAGTGGGGCTGGGGGCTCAGGGGTGCTGTCCCCCATCCTTGTGTCCACCACGGCAGGTTCTGAGTGAAGGAGAGGAGCTCCTGGGAGCAGCCGTGTCCACAGGGTGGCACTCCAAACAGAGGCACGGATGTGCTGCTGGAATTTGGGACAGGCTGCTCTGGGACTAACCCTTTTGGAGGGGTTACAATCATTTCCTGGCCACATTTCACCTTTGCTATACAAGTCACTGCCAGTAAGCAGTAAACATCTAGCTTCAAACACAAGAGCAATCCTAAGATTTTTCCTAAGTTGCTTTCGTAAGAGTAATCAAAGATGTACAATTGCTGCTTCAACCTTTTTACAAAAGGAATACATTTGACCTTCAGGAGAGTTAATCACATTTTTGGCAGATGTCTTTCTAGAGGGTTTAAATGGTACAATATGTTTTGGAGGTGCAGGGGCAGAGCAGACCACTTTTTTTCCACTCAGTCATTTTCCTACAATAAACTTTGATGCATACTTTCAGTTATCTCAGGCTGCATTTTGGGATCTGGTTTCATTTACTGAGCCTGGCTAGTTTTATGTGCAGCCATTGAGTACTGCCAGTATGAGTTCCTGCTGCCCATTCATTAGGGGCATGAAGTTCCACTGCTTTTTAAATCCACCAAAATGACCTTTTGTCTTAAAATTCCTGTCAACAGAGGAACGAGCAACAAACTCTGAGGGAAAATATTTCCCACTGCTCCAGCTCCCATCTGGAAAGGGAGATAGGCATTTTGCTGATAGCAGAGCTAGTAAAGTGAGGGGAGGATAGCATTTCTTGACTTCAGCCAGTCTTGCTGCAGGTTTCCTGAAGCCCTTCACTGCTGTCCATTGGCTCTCCTGCCATCCACGGTGCAGCCAGAAGCACATGGAATAATTTAGTGGATGTGAAGTGAAGACCAAGCTGAAAATTGCTGCTTCTTCATCAACAAAGAGCGGTGGTGTTACAGGAAGGAAAAATACTGGGACTCCAGAGCTGGAGTTTCCATTCTCTGCCATGCCCTGTACTTCTTATTTGACCTGTGTACCTGGTTTCTCAGTATGTAAAATTGGCACAGCATATTTACAGTCTGTCCTGAGACTTTTCTGGTATTTGCAAGTTACCTTAACAACTCTGAGCAGAAGGAAACTGGATGACCTCCAGCGGTCCCTTCCAACATCACCCATTTTGTGATCCTGTGAAACCCAGGGCTGCTCTCCTTCACTTGTAATCTAAAACTGCCCCCCTGCTGGTGGTGCTTTAATGTCTGCATTGGTCTTGCTGCACTTTTTTTCCTTAATGAGAAACTTCTGCTTCTTCCCAGAGAGATGTGGAAACCCTGCATAGCAGAAAATACTTCCTAGAGGCAAGGTTGACTGTGCTGTAACAATGGGTTCAATACTAGACTTTCTAATAGGTGTCCCATACAACAAATACTTAATAAACTAGAGCAAGGCCTGAATTGATTTAATTTCATTTTAGATATCTAACTAAGATAGTTGGGATAGGAGTGCAGATGGCCTGCTTTCCTTTCTTGTCAGGAAAAAGAAGTATCTCCAAAGGACATGTTTGAAGCCATTAGGAGTCAATGATTCACAGGACTGATGTCTGCAGTCCAAACAGATGAATCTGGACCCAAATGTCCTAATGGAACATCCTGGCCAGCAAAGAAACCTTCTTTTCATTGGAATCAGCATTTCTCTATTTAATTATCAGTCCCTTGAAAGGTACAAATTGCTGCTGTTTCTGGAGTCTTCTGCTTTCAGTTGAAAACTTCTTTTAAGTAGGTGTGTGTCTGTGCTTCAAAGAACCTGATTGTCTTGATACAAAAATAGCGTGACATACAGCTTGACTGATAGAATAAAATTATAGGTTTAGTTCTTGGACAGATAATTCATTCTTATAATGTGAGGAGTGTTTTTCCCAGAGTGCAGGATCAGAAGCACAGTGAAAACAAAAAGTAGACTTCTTGCTCTTTAATATTTATAAATGATTTTTAGCTCTTGCTTCAGTTTTTAAAGGGCATACATATTTAACATACAACATGTCAGTATATCACCATTCCAAAGGGCGTTCATTTGCATAGGGAATGTGCACTTTATTTGATAAAACATACACTTCTTGCGCAGCAGAAAGGAGGAGAAGGCACTTTCCCAGATGAGCAAGCATGCCAGCAGGACTCCCAGCCCCGTGTGACTCACAAAGTCACTGCCTGTGAGACATCCACCAGGATGGCAGAGCAAGGAGGTACCTCTGAAGTGATCACAGTTCAGGCTGTGCACAGCTTTGGCATCCTGAGCAGCCCCTGCCTGCTTCTTGGGGAATTGAAATCTTTGTCCTGGTGGACAAGGAGGTCAGCTTGTTCCTGAGCTACAGGCAACAGCAGTGATGAATCCTGACAAATCCTGGCCCCTGGAAGGGAACATGGGTGGTTTAAGTGGAAGGAAACGTGGCTGGTTTAGGCCTCAAAGAAGAGGTACATAGGAACAACCTCCCTAAGGATGTGGTGGAGTCCTCACCACTGGAGGTTTTCAAGATGCTGTTGGGCACTAGATCATCTCATCTAGGCTCCCTTTCCCACAAAAACTTGGACCAGATGATCTTCAAAGGTCCCTTCCATGCTGAGCTGTCCCAGGATTCTGTGCACTCAGGTCCTAGGAAGACAGTGATATTCCATCTCTCTTGCCTAAAGTTCACTGAAACAGCCGCATCCAACTGAACTCATTCAACTGGCCCATTCTGTACTCTCTGGTGGGAGGGAAATGTAAGGAGCAGATGTGATCTTCACACTAAAAGTGCCAAAATATGAGTGTTTTCAAGGCTTCTGTGGCAGCTTCACTTGAGGGGTAAGCAAGAGGGCAAAAACACACAGGGAAGGTGTCCTGTACCTGAGGGAAACATTCCCTGAATGAGCTGACTCTCACAATTCTCCGAAGAATTATTCCTTTGTGCACAGGAGGAGCACAATGCTTGTCACACCAGCCAGGTCAAGGTTTCTTGACTAGAATTTGCTTCTTTAAAAAAAGGCTTTAACAATTTCCATGAAAAAGTCACTCCAAGCTGCCTTCTTGACTTCATAAGCCCCTAGGGCAGAGGTCCAACCCACAGGAAGTCCGAAATTTCTGAGGTTGTGAAATATGATGGTAAAACTGCTAAAATGAATTGGTCACAAATATTTCTTCCCTGTTTTTTTCCTAATCTCAGCAGTTGAGTGGAAAAGGTTCAATTTTAGGTCCAGTTCCATCTGTAAATGGTTCCATTGAAGTGTTGAGTTAAACTGAACCCAACCTGGCTTCGTTACCTGACTGCTTCTTGTACTGGAAGAGCAAAGAGATATATTTACCTTTGTACTGCTTTTAAATTAGAGTTTTATGTCTCCATGCAGTATTTTTGCCTTCCTGCCTGACAGCTGCCATGCCTTACTCTACTAAATCACTATCCCACTATTTGCTTTTTCACTGTAAATCACCTTGAGAGACTTGGAGAGACGCTATATAAAACTAAATTGATTTGAAATGGCTCTTAAGACAGTCTCCATATGCCATTATAGTTTATATTTGGACTCAGCTGGGTACTAAAAATGTTACTGAACAGGATGTCTAATGTGTATTGTTATCCTCATTAAAATACTTCACAGAATATGAAGAACAGCAACAGCATTAATTTTCTTATCTGAATTCCTGTCCAGTACCCTTTCCTCCAGGAAATGCACAGAATAAAGGCCATGTTTGCACTTTCTTTGCTGCAAGAGGTTAGCTGGGCACAGCAATAACCTCCTTACTCCAGTCTCAGGCTATCAGTGGGGATTCTGGTAAACAAAATGATGCCTTTGTTTTTAAACAATTATAGGATAAGGAAGGAAGGGAGGGAAAAGTCCCTTGAAAGGGACTCCAGCTGATCAGCAGTGCCTGCTGGCCTTCCACTTGTCTACTGGCTAAAATGTGCCCTTCTCTCAAATTAGTTGTTTATGGAGAAGAAAACATCTCCATAAGATAGACGAGATGAAATTAAAATTACACATGAGGCCTTCTGGTGGGCCAGGCCATGCAGCTGAGTCAGGCTCCTGCTCACAGACCCCTCTCCCATCTCTGTGCACCATCAGAGTAGTTTCCTTTTGGCCATTGCTTTGATCCTGACAGCTAGGACCTTTGCCTTTCTCCTTGAGATTTCTTCCCCTTCTTCCTATTTTCACCCCCAAAATAAATGCAAACTTCAGCACTTGTGCTTCTGGGTGAGTCACCTTCACTGATCAGCGAAGCCCTTCCATCTCCCAGAAGGGAGGTTTCATCTATCACTTCTTAATGATTCTGCCTGAATCCTGCAGGTCACACCATACCAAGAATTGGATTCAAGTCTTGAGACCTCTTCCTCTGCCTGTTTATTTTTGCTAAGTGCCTCCAAAGGAGCGTGTTACAATTAGTTTTTGGGATGGCCAGAACAAAAGCTGAATGCCACTGCAAGGGAAGCAGTGGAAGGTAGAAACCTAAAGCTTCTGT